CTAATATTACCTATACAATCCTTTAAAACATATCACTTACTTGCCCATTTGACATAGTCCCTTCTACTTACCACTTGCTCACTCTGCTCTAGCCACTCTGGTCTTCATGGTTTTCATTGAACATTACTCATCTCAGGGCCTTGCTGTTGCTCTTTCCATTAGGAATTCTCTTCCCAGGGATGATAACTTCTAGTCATTTAGATCTCATTTCAAACAACACTACTTTAGTGAGATCTTTCTTAATTACCATGTAAATTTTTCCATTTCCCTCTCTTGTCATGTTTATTTTTTCCCAAAAGCAAATCTTGAAACAAGGACCTGGGATTAGTAGTTTTTAGGGGTTGATTCCAGGAAACACAAGTGAAGGGTGGGGGAAAGTGAAGCAGAGAAGTAAAGCAAACATATAAAATATGTCTTAATGAGAAGGTTGCTGCTGTGAGCACCTGGGGCTATTTTCTTCTGGGAAACTAAGAATCTGTGGAACGCACCTTGGAATTGTCCCACCAGAGAAGGAGGCTGGTTCCATTAAATCCATCTGATCCAGAGTGTCGTTTAGAGCCACTGTTTCCCTGATATATACTAGCTCTCATCCGGCATTGGTTGAGGATTGAGGTGAACTCCACCCCCGGCACTTCTGAGTTGTGCTTGTGTAAGCTTACTGCTGTGATGCCAGAGAAAGCCCCCAGGATACAGAAGCAGGAATGTGCGGGTGCTTGAGGCTTCAGATGGTGGTTCTACCATAATTGCAGGTGAATTCAAAGGCAGGCCAAGGAGACACAGGGCAGGGCATTCATAGCATCACACACCTCTGTCCCCCAAACACACATACACACTATATATGTCTACACTGCTTGTCGATTCTCCGCACATCTCTATATCTTCTCCTTTGTCACTATCAAAGTTATCTTCTTTATATTTGCTTGCTTGTTTATGTTTGCTCTCTCCACAAAGAATGAGAATTTTATAAAAACAAGGCCCTTGTGTTTCTTACTCACTGTGATTTCCTGAGTGCCTTGGACAGTGATTGGAATGCACACAGCAAATATGAAGGAAAGGGCAATGCTCTCTGCTTACTATAAGTACCGGGATCATTTTCTAGAACATTCTAAATTAAGGTCTACCTTTCTATCTTATGATTATGATTTTCCTTTTTTTTTTTTTTGTAAGAACAGCAACTGTGCTTTCTAAACCGTGACTGTCTTGCATTATTTACTACTGGAGATGTCAGCATATTTTGTGCCGCTGATGATACTTCTCAAAAAAAAATGCCATCTGCCAGCCATATCAATCAGTAAGTGACAAGTGATATATAGAAAAATACCTTTAAGCTCAAGTGACAGGAACATATAAGCATGCACATCACCAACTGCATATATCTGTCCCCAAAAAGAACTAAGTGCTGTACATACAAGGAAGTTAAAATAAAACTGAGATATGAGAAAGATCCAGAGAGAGAGAGAATATAAATATCATTAAAATAATAGGAGTGAGAGATCCTACATGGGTTCTGGCTTAGAAACCATAAAAGGGAGATATTTTACGTAAAATTTGAAGGTGCATAAAGATGTGGGGTATAGAAAAAAATACATCAGGCGAAGGTATATGCACTTGTCCAGTGGTGAGTGAGGGTGCATTGAAGATGAAGCAGCCATTTTAATGTTAATTGTGGGGAGAACAACCTGGGTTTTGGGGCTAGAAAGGGGATCAATGGTGTAAATCACGATTAATCAGCTAAGCTCGGTAGACACAAATATGGATGTTGGTAAATTCTTACACCTGTGAAATGGCCTAGGTTTTTAGAAAATCTCAGCAGGAATTATGATAGCTGGGAGTTAAGCACCTATTGTTTCCCCCCCTAAAATCACTACCATGTTTGTTTGTTTTTAATCCTCACCTGGGGATATTTTCCCATTGATTTTAGGGAGAGTGGAAGAGAGAAGGAAAGACAGAGAGAAACATCAATGTGAGAGAAACACATCGATTGGTTGCCTCCTGCACGCGCCCTGACAAGGGCTGGGGCTGGGGAAAATCTTGGAACTGAGGTATGTGCCCTTGACCGGAATCGAACCCAGGACCTTTAGGTCCGCAGGCCGATGCTCTATCCACTGAGCCAAACCAGCTAGGGCACTGCCATGGTATTTTTTATTTAGGATGAGCTGTTATGGTGATTCATGAGTTAAGCAGTCCTAGAAAGGACTATAATGCATGATTATCTGGATTGTTACAGTGGCTTAAACAAAGGCTATTTCTGAAGCAAACTGTAGTATCTCTTATTGATTAAGTGTAGAAGCCCGTTTTTGCCAGTAAGTCCTCGGCTTTGTCGCTTACCTTTGTTTCCAGATCAGCCTTTAAATCTTCTGCTTTTAATGCATGAAAGTATTTGACATACAACTTCTGTAGAAATAAGAAAAAGGAGGATAAACACCTTGCAATATTTTATACATCAGTCATGGTGGAGATTATTAGTAAAATGCCTGAAAGGAAAAGCGAACGATTCTTAAAAGCCAATATTTTTACTCATTTCTATCCACATACATGGATGTTCACTTAGAGCATGAAAATATAAGCACTTCTAGGAAAAGGAATAATTTTACTATATCTTTTTTTATTCCACTGGCAATAATATCTGAATGTCTACTAATATATAAGTTCTTCTATTTACATACATGTGAAGAATCGATGTGCAGGGTGTGTAAAGCATGGCATAACCAGGCATAAAGGGCACGGAAATAGATTTTAGTATCCACCACATTACAGCTTCACCTGGTGTGTGAAAGGACTGCAGATGGAAGAGGAAACCAGTGTAACCTGCATTCTTGCTTGATGGTCTCTTTTAATCCAAGAATTCTCTGCTTGAGAAAAATGAAAATACAACTAAAATATTAAGAGGGAGAGTTAAAAAAAAATCACCACATTTCCAGAGAACAGTGACAGATATGAATATAGAGAGAGATTTCAGCCGTAGCCAGTTTGGCTCAGTGGATAGAACGTCGGCCTGAGGACTGAAAGGTCTTGGGTTTGATCCAGGTCAAGGACACGTACCTTGGTTGCAGGTGCGGAAGGCAGCCAATTAATGTGTCTCTCTCACATCAATGCTTCTCTCTCTCTCTCTCTCTCTCTCTCTCTCTCCCCCTCCTTTCCACTCTCTCTAAAAATCAATGGGAAAAATATGGGTGAGGATTAACAGAAGAGAGAGAGAGAGAGAGAGAGAGAGAGAGAGAGAGAGAGAGAGAGATTTCAGTGGCGCTTGGGGTGGAAAGTCATTGGTCCTGAGTTGCTCAGGCCAGACATAGATTCTAATAATTGAAAATATGTTTTTAATGCTGTCTGTCTTCTGTGCTGTTCCTGTAAGTTTGCTATTAAAATACATTAAACTAAAAAAAAATAGCATCAGCTTTAAAATGGAGGTTGAAAATAAATATGAAATGGGCTGCCCGGTTGACATTCTAATGCACAACAAAAAGGCCCATCCAAGTGTTGGCACGCTGAACTGGGATTGGTTTCTGGCAGTCATCCTCAAAAGTAAAAACCATGACAGAATAATGTAATTTTTAGGGATGAGGGAATAGGCATAGCAGAAGTTATACAGACAGAGAACCAAGTGAAAATTGGGAGAGAAGGGAAAGGGCAACACTGGGAGATAGGAAAGAAAAAGGGAGGAAAGAAGGGAGATTGGAAGGAAAGAAGAAGGAACTAATATTCTTGGCATGATTAATTAAGTTTTGGACTCTGCTTGGTGTTCTGTACAAAACCATTTAAAATTCTACTTGCAACTTTGCACATAGCACTCTAAAATATCTAAGTTTATTTGTGCATACATCTGCCTATATTTGGACTCCATCACAAGTTATGTAAGCTTCATGAGGGGAAGGAGTTTGTCTTATTCATCACTGTAGCTCCTGTGTCCAAAACAGAGTCTGACTCATTGAAGACATGAAGAGGACATTTGCTAAATAAACATTCCAAAAAGGATTTTCCCCCAGAAAAGGTGACAATTGAAGGCAGAGCTGCTGGTTGTGGGAGGGACAAGGGAAGAATTGTTCCACCAAAAAACACTAAAATTCAGAGGAATTTTCTTCTCTTTTTTTATTTTTAAATTAAATATTGTTTTCATATGCCTGATGTCCACCATCAAGTTCAAGGTTCTTTATCCCTGTAAGAACAATGTACATTCTTATCTAGGCTATAGATATTATCAATTCCATTTTAAACCCTGACAGTATCATTTCATATTTTAAAAATTCATCTGACTCCTTCACTAATTAAAAAGGTATTTCAGACGAGGAAGATGGCAGCTGGCAGGACGGAGGTGAGGGAGAGGATGTGAGTGAGTGAGGGGTGAAAGAAGAGTGTGTGGATGTATGTGGCATGTGCGTGAGTGAGTGAGGGATAGTTAAATCCGGCAGGAGCAGCAGGGGCTGGCAGACCAGGCTCTCTGGACAGGGAACACCTACCACTGCTGCGGGCACTCCCCGGGCTGCGGGACTCAGGCACAGAGCCCACGCCATCTTGAAGAGGAGAAGGGCCTTTTCTAGGAACTCATAAGCATCACCACCTGGACTGGCCTTGGGTACTGCCCGTGACCCTGCAGCCACTACAGCCAAAATCTTGCTGCCTGCAGACCCTAGGATGTCCACCTCCAAGGGTACACGGCTCCCGCAGCAATAAGTGCGACTTCCCCCCTCCCCAGCTGCTGACCCCTGGACACCTCAGTTGCACCTCCTGAGCCCACCGCCACACAGGCCGCTCTTAGGTGCCATGTGAGCCCCCGCTGGGCATGCTCTTATCCAAACAAGGACACAAGGCCCTAGCAGGAGAAATTCGGATTTCCCCCTTCCCAACTGCCCTGCCCACAGACACCTTGGTCATGCAGCTTTAGCACAAGGGCCTCTCTGAGTGCACCACCCTGGCAAAGGCCCCCTGGAGCCTCTGTGAGTCACCACTGGGAGCGCGTGAACCCAACAAAGGGCACAGCACCCTGGTAGCAAAAACTGAGTCTTGTGCTCGCTTCGGCAGCACATATACTAAAATTGGAACGATACAGAGATTAGCATGCCCCCTGCGCAAGGATGATCCATATTTTTCTTAAAAAACAAAACAAAACAAAAAAAACCCTGCGTCTTCCCACTCCATAGTTACTGACCTCCAGACACCACAATCACACTTTTCCAGCGTGCAGGCCTCCTGAGCCTGTTGCCCCTATAGGCAGCTTTTGGGTGCCTTGTGAGCCCCCGCTGGGCATGCGAAAATTCAACCAAGGATGCAAGGCAGCAAATATTGGGACTTCCCCCTTCCCGGCTGCTGACCTCCGGACATCGCAGTTGCTCCTTGCCAAAACACAGGCCTACTGAGCCCACTGCCCCTATAGGCAGCTCCTGGGTGCCTCCTTGAGCCCCCCCTAGGTGCGCTTGTAACCAAACAAGGGAACACGGACCAGGCACTAGAAATTTGGACGTTCCCCTTCCCAGCTGCCTACCCACAAACACTGCAGTTGCGTGGTTTCAGCATGCAGGCCCCCTGAGGCCGCCGCCCCAACAAGTGACTCCTGGATGCCTCTGTGAGCTGCCATTAGGTGCACTCATATCCAACCAAGGGCACAAGGCCCAGCAGCAGAAACTCGGACTCCCCACTCCTTGGTGGCTGACCTCTGGTCACTGCAGTCTCTCTAATCCAGCACACAAGCACCCTGAGCCCGCTGCCCCAGCAGGTGGCCCCTGAGTGCTTCTCTGAGCCACTGCAAGGCGCAACCCCAGCTGCTGGCATCCAGTTCCCAAGGTAGCGCCACTCCAGCACACGGGCCCCCTGAACCCACTGCGCCAGCAGACAGCTCCTGGGTGCCTCTATAAGTGGCTGCTGAGCACACATATCCAACCAAAGGCACACATCCTCCAAAGCAGAAACTAGGACTTCTCCCTCCACAGGGCCGGTTGCACACCTCTATCACTCTGATCCAGCGTGTGGAACCCACGAGCACACACC